CACACAGGTGAGCAATTCCATTGCATCCCCAGCATTCCTGCTGCTAACTCTCTAACCATCACATATCATCTTTTTTTTACATCTCTGACACAGAAACTAGTTAGGATCTTCTACATACCACTCCTCTTCTGCTTCCATTTCCAGTTGTTTCTCTGCCAGATCAGGAAAGGCAAAGCTTTTTAATTGTCCCTGCTCCCTTCCTTACTTTGGCAGACACATTTCAAATGCTTTGTGAAAGTATTTCAACCTTTGCAGATTGTGGTTGTGGTACTCTGTACGCTGACGTGACATAACACAACAAGATGCTTTGTGTTAAAGGCAAAAGATCTCCCAGATCTCTGCATTTCACAATATGTCAGAAACAGGTATTACAGAAATCAGTCTCAGCCTACTGTGATTAAAGGAAAAAGGGAGTCTACCTGACTTCCTGATACTCTAATTCCTAAAAGATACTGCTCCAGGGGAACACTTGACTTCCAGTAAGTGAAGTCTTCCCCCCACCCTCCTCCTCCTCCCAGGCTTACAGAATCATACTTCTTGTTTGCTCCTATTAAATTTTAAAAAGCTGAACAGAAACATGACACTACCTTAAGCAAAAACGAACAAGTCTGGTCTAAGGAATCTATTCTTTATTTGCTATCTTTGGAAAGGGTGGATTTTCAATTAACACTTAAACTTTTCTGATATCCCTTAGGGCTGATAAGAATAGAAAAGAAACATGAGTTTCCAAAGAGCAGGAATTTAATTCTTACTAACATTAAAAAAAAAATAATAAATCCAAGCGGCTGGTTTTGTCCCAGGTAGGTTAGAATTGAAGCAAACAATTGGTTCTGCGATTTTACAACCTTTTTTTTAGCAGGTTTTACTAGTTATTAGAGATTGGCATTTTTTATTTTAAAAAGTTTAACTTGTCCACTTTGGTAAATACTGAAAGTTAAGGGTATGTTTCATTACATTGTACTGGAAACAAGAACTCACAAATAAGGTCATACCAGAACTAAGAGCACTGATGGAACATTTCATTTATCCTCTGAACACAATTATCTGGCCTTTTACCCAACACCCCGAGGAAAAGCCCCGGCTGAGGTAAAGCCTCCTGTCTGAGAGATACCACACACTGTATCAACAAAGTTCTGCCCCACATCACAGTTGTTTGCATCTGTCTCTTGGCCACCTTGTATGAAGTCTGCATCATATAAATAAAAGTTGTAACTCTTACAAATTTATAATTTTGCAACTTTTTATAAATTTTATAGATTTAACAGATTGAAGGGCATGAAAGCAGTGCTGGACTTCATACAAATGTGAGATGAAGAGGCACATATAGGATGAGTGACACAGTAAGATTCACAGGCATATGGAAGGAGGCCTGTATAAATCATCCTCTTCTCACCTCAGGATGATCCCAAAGCCAAAATTCCTAAATCCTACTACAAAGCATCAGAAACTCCACTGAAACAGAAGCACACAGGTGTTTTCCCATGCTCCATGTAATGAACCAGACACAGAGACTTGTGAAGGAAAGAATTAAGCAGAGTTATACACAGGGGTACGAAGTGATGAAGAATGCTTGTTTTCATAAAGACAACAGAGTGCACCCAGTTTTTGAGCAAGAAAATTTAAAGGGTTTCAACAGCACTACCATGAAGGTGAGAGTTGAATAGTTACGACATCAGAAATCTTGACATCGTCACAGCAGAAAGCAACATTTATCTGAACAAAGAAGATCTGTTTGGAATACCTATGTTCTAGACATCAGAGAAGAGGTAAGAGTGAAAACTAAATTGAGATCAGCACACAAAAATGAGGTGCATCACAATGAAATGCATGCAAACAACCTGGCTGAATGTCCTCAAAATTTGTGCCAGATTTTTGGCACCAAATGTAAAGGGAATTCACTGGGGTACGCATATATTTTAAGATAATATTGTAAACCCATCTTTGGCATTTGTTGTATCCAATTCAGTTATTTTTATGTACAAGGCATGGATTTTTCCCCAAAAATCATTACTATCATTTTTTAAAATCAGGCAAGAAATGTAAAATTACTTTTAATTTCATAAAGATCATACAAAAATATTTGAACATATTTTAATAGTGTTAATAGCTTATTTCTTTCTAGTTCTAAACACATTCAAGACAGCAATAAAAGGAAAAGGAGTAATAGTCAGCTCTGTCCAGACTACAACCAGACAAAAGCAGCAAAAAAAGACTATAGATGGCAAACCTGTAGGGGTCAGAGAACTGACCTTTAATTGAATGTTGCAACTTAGTGGTCAAGATACTCAGAGATCTTACACTCACAAAAAAGAACACATCTGGAAGTAAACTCTCTAAATCTCTCTACTCCATCCGACGATGCATTAACCAGAGACGGAGTTTGAAAGCCATATTCCACGTCACCCACAATGTAACTGAAAAGCCTATGCTGTTTGAAGCAATAATTCAAATGGACAGTTCCTTTCTAAGGAATGCGTGTTCGACTGTTGATTTTCCCCCCAACTGCTGTTGCATAAAGGTCATAACTGTATAAAATACACAGGAGCGGGGAGCATGATTCCATGCTGAGTCAGCCAAAATGAATTCCATTCCCAGCTTTGTGAAGGACTTGCAACAGGAGTAACTAAATAGTTTTATCTTTTTTTATTTGTTCAGCTGGACAACAATACTTACCTACTTCACCAGGTTGTTTTGGGAACTAATGATGGGTATGTTAATATTTAGGAAGCATCATAAGCTGCATCCATTTCTACAAAAATCTGTCCTACAGTAGCTTGACTAAGTTTTTCAGGACAACCATTATCTATCTTTTTTTATGTGCTTGTACAGTTCCCAGAACAATAGGGTCTTAATCCTTGACTTGGACAGCTAGGCACCATTGAAACATAAATAATTAGCAAACAATATGAGTTGAGAGGTTTAGCGAAGTGTTATCCTTCCCAGAGCTCCAAGGCACAGAGCATTTAAATGACCAGAATTTAGCCAATGCAAAGGGAACTGGGGACAAGGAACCATAGCCTTGGTTGCTCGCTAACAACTTTGGTGGCTTGTTCTTGAAAGAGCAGGGATACAAAAAAGAAGACTGATGGAATGCATATGTGAGAAGAGAACACTATTCAGAGGAGCATGGGGACTGCAAATACAGTTGCCTTTTGAACAAGGCATTTAGGGCAAAAGCTTTCCATGTATTTGCCAGCTGTACCATATCTGCAAACCAAGAGCAAGCTCAGTAGGAAAAAAAAGGGGGTTGTTTTGGGTGGTTTTTTTGAGAAGCAACTCATAAACATGCAATTTGCCAAAAGAGCTACACATCAATAAGAAAGAAACAGTTGTATAACCAACAGTAGCTGTTGTTTCGAGATACGTTCTATGGACATATATGCTGCCTGTGTCACGAGCATGCACACTACATTCAAGCTAGAGTCTGACTTAGAAGCATCAGCAGTAGGTTATCATACACCCCAAGAACACCCCCCTGCTTCCAGAGGTTGCTCTGTCCTCTCTGCACCCTCCCATTAGACCTCATCACTCTCTACAACTCCCTGAAAGGAGGCTCAAGCGAAGTGAGGGTCAGTGTCTTCTCCCAAGTAACAGGTGATAGGACAAGACGAAAGAGCCTCAGAAATTGAGCCAGGGGAGGTTTAGATTGGATATTAGGAAAAAATTATTACATTGAAAGGGTTATTAAGCACTGGAACAGCCTGCCCAGGGAAGTGGTTAAGTCACCATCCTTGGAGGTATTTAAAGGATAGGTAGACATAGTGCTTGGCAATATGGTTTAGTGGTGTTTTTTGTCAGTGTTAGGTTGATGGTTTAACTAGATAATCTGAAAGGTTCCTTCCAACCCAGGCAATTCTATGATTCCCATCAGAAGTACAACGGTTGGAACTAGTCCAATCACTTGAGTAGCTCTTCATCTTGGACAGTACTTCATCTTCAGCATCTAAGAATAACCTCAAGTACCAAGCATAAAGGGTATGACATGGAATTTGTGCCAATGTTTCTAAGTAAAACTAATACTGAACAATTAAGCAACTTTTTCTCCTCCATTGCCTGTCCATGCATTTGTTCTGTTGTTGGTGACTTCTAAGCTATGTACTCTCTGAAGGTGGATATCAGTAATTTGGGCTTGTTTCCTCTAGAAATGAAAGACTGATGGGAAGAATGACTGTCAGCATTACTGGAGTGAAAAATAATTCCTTCCAAGTGACAAATGAAGAAATGCTCTGCTTCAGTCAGTCTGGAAGATACCTGGAGGACAGACAATTTCCACAAGGTGATGAATGAAAAGGAAGTAGAATGCTGAGACGAAAGCTTGGACTGTTTCCAGTAAGCTTTGAATGCAGGGTGGGGCAAATGAAAGCAGTCTTCAGGAGGCACAAAGGCAAAAGAGCCAGGGCTTAATATGCTACCCACAACTTTTATCTTCTTAAATAAAGATGATGCTAAAGCAAAATATTGGGAAAAAAAATGGAGAATTGCAACAGAGACTAAGAAAATATTTTCAGCCACTAATCAAAGTACGTACAATACACATGCAACACAAAACAAATTAAACACTTATTTACCTAGATGTATCAAGTTAGTATTATGCCAATATTTTAGAACAGCCTCTATCCCATCCTATTATTATATGTCATTATTACACTGTGCATCCAAAATTTTTTGATATTGTCAGTCAACAACACACACTTAATACATACTTAACTTTAAACACATTAACCCTTCTAAGTAATCTATTTAATGTGCAATAAAAATTAAAGCAAATCTGTCTTTCCAATAGTTTAAACCCCCTACCCACTCTTGTATTTGGCAGTTTGGTAATTGAAAAATTTGAATAGATTAGAATGATAAACCTTTTCTACCACAAGATCGCAGAGAACTAATGCGCATACAGTCTGATGTGATCTGAAATAGATGTTGAATCTCTATTTTTGAAAGAAAAGAAATAGTTACCTTTTTTTAATGAAAGTAAATGGAAAAAAGTCTCACACTCTTACCTGTTGGTATGCTTCGTAGATTATATCAAACAAGAAAGCCTGAGGCATTTCACTCGCTCTGTATCTGGCACGTTCCAGTGAGTGGTCCAAACAGCCATCTGCTGCAGAGGCAATTACAGTAGAAACTAGAGGACGAATTGCTCCTGCTGCCTGTGGAACAAACCACAAAGAGAGGCCCAAATGCTCTTTAATGTATGTTAGATAGCTGCAGTACAAAAAATAATAAGAGCTTTAAAATACATTTTCTACTTATTTATCTTTTATATATCTCATAACGCATAAGTCATACTACTTATTCTGTATGAGACTAAAAGGAATATAGCAACAGAAGGCTGTATAAGAACACACTGAGGGCCAATTTACAAAATAAAATAATCTTAAGTCCTTCATCTACTGCAAACAGATGTAGAGATCCGAGACGTTCATTTTTCAGACTTGCTTCTACATATGTATTAGGTGGTTACTGTGAGGACAGTTCTAAGCCTATTCAGATATCACACAGCAGGAGACACACCTGAGAGGTCTTGAAAACCCACATCACCTCTTGTTTTCACAGGTTTCAGTTTGGCTAACTGCTTACAAATAAGCAACAAGAAAAGCTTCAGAAAAATTGAGCTTAGTCCACTTACCAGTGAAGTCACTGGGAAGACGGTATATACAGCAGAAAGTACTCAATACCCAAGCAACACTGCGCTCCAGAACAGATACTTAAATGCTTATATTTCAGTTTTGGTTTTGGTCAAACTCAAAACTCGATATAAACACATATCTTTGATCTTTTCATCAATATATAGTATTAAAGATGTTTGGCATCTCTGAAATAGAGCTCTCCTAGCTGGTTTTAGTCCAGAAAGTTACCCGCACTCCATCAGTCACTTATCAAATGCTCAGATCAACTTCATACGAAGCTAAAGGCAAATGGGACAAGAGTTGTCCATACAGTAATGAAAAGGACACAATGGCAGAACACTGTTTATCAAGTCACAGGGCAAAAAAGAATGTTCCCTAACAATGGTAACCACTGAAAATGGCATCCTTAACACTATACTGTTTATTACCTATTTTTAAGAATAATAAAAAAGAATGATGCTGTTCCAAAACATTTGAATTATCCATCATCCTAAAGCAGTATACCTAGAAAACCAACCCCATGGCGAATCCTGACATTTTTCACAGCAGCCACAGAAAATCTCCTGAGGTCTAGTGAACTTTTACACAGGGAAAAAAAACGGGTCTCATCACATAAAATAAGAGCACTGTTACTGTTGATTTCATTTGTCTTCTGTTGGCAAATCCTGCCTTCACACATATGAGTCCTGTCCATTCTTACAAGATTTCTGACCTCAGATAAGCGTACAGTGGCAGAATGAGACACCAAAAGTGAGCCTGAAGTTTTTTTCCTCTCAGAACACAAAGAACTAGTTGTCTTCCCTCCCCCTTTCACACTACTGAACAATAAAACAAAGAGGAATGCAGTCAGCGTGTTGAGCACTTTATGAGCTCTAAAATATAGCTTCTTAGTTCATTCTTTTACAGACTGAGGACAGAGATGTGAACCGATTTCTCATGCCCAAGGAGTTCTGATAGGCATGAGCTACCAGGGCTGGGAGAAGGGAGAGAAAAGACTCAAAAGATTCATATGATAAAGGAAATATCTGAACCACTTTCTCAAAATCTGAAAAGAACTTTTTCTTTCCAATACATGGGAAGACATACCTACATAAAACACTACATAGAGCAAAATACTGTCATTCAAAGGCAAAACACATTCCAGAAAGATCAGCAAGAACTATGAAATCACAAAAGAATTGTCCATAAAGGATCTTGAGAGGTCATCTAGACCATCCTTCTGTCCTAGGCAGGATCAATTTTACTTCTGTAATAGAAAAGACAAACTGACAAAACTGAACACCACTACAATTTTAGTAGTACATCAATGTATTTAATGAGGAGTAAATTTAACAGATGCACTTTGAGGAAAAGCTGTGCATAAGCAGAAGTAGAGACTCAATTATCTGCAACTTGTCCCCTCTCTATTTCCTGTGATTCCAGGACATGGATTATTACCTCTGTATCCCAGCTGCTGGGCATTTGGATTATGTTATTTTGTTCTGCCGTCGTATTTTAATTGGTCACATACACACACAAAAAAATTTAAAAACTAGAAGGTCATGGGAAAAGAGAGAGAGCAGCATGCTAGCCACAGCTTTTCTGTAATTAGTTAAGTCTATTTGATTTTTTTTTTCCCCTGAAACAGTTACCATTCCAAAAACCCAGTTAGCAATAGAGGGTTTCTTAGGCTGATCCAATATTTTATTACAGTTTTTAACAATCTTGTCATGTTACATTTTAAGCATAAAACAGGCCAAGAGAATACAATGTGACTTGCATAACCAAATCTCACAAGTGAAACACGCACTCTGAGGAACAAAAAACCAAACTGCAATTCTAAATAAAATTGAAATGCTCAAAATTATATTCTTAAAAGAACTCTGAAACACATTGTTTTCTTGACATCTGGTTTATTGCACAATAAAAATTCATGAATATCTGTATCTTTGTGACAATACTGAACCACATCTCCTGCTCTGCTGAGGCCTAGCTTTACCAGAAGATTCAGGAAGATCTGGTTTCTAATAAATCCAAATACATCATTTTTTTAAAACACCCAATTGACTTCTCAAATCATTCAAAGCTTCATGGCACCTAAAATTTAACAAATGGCTTTTTTCAAACAACTACAGTTCTGCTTTACATTACCCCAGAACTGAGTGCAGTGTGGCCAGGCTGAGAGTTTTTCCTCTGTCTTCCCTCGTCTCAATGAGAAACCATAAGTTGGGCACAAGAAGATGTCTTCTGCAGCAAGTCCGCTCAAACTATACCTGACACTGACGGAAAACATGGAGTTTAATACAAAGAATAAGATTTATGGCTGATCACGCAAGGGAGAGAAATTCTATGTACGCAGCAACAGGACAACTAGCAGTCATTTGATTAAAAAAAAATAAAAATCAGCTTTTATTCTAAAAAAGGACAGCTCAGTCTCCATTACTTATCTATGGTCTAAAAGCAGAATGCAGAGCTCAGTACTTCCTAACACCAGGAAGTTTCTACTGCACACAAAACCCTCATATGACAAGCAGCTGGAGTCCAGAAGCCGTGAATCCATAGGCTAGAGCCTACTTTCTAAGCTGCTGCAATGAGCTAAAACCTTAAAATCCTGAGACAAGATACAGAAAAAACTGGTTGGTTGTTTTCCTTAGTCCCGGTTTACCTTTCTGCAGGACCCTTCTCTGTCTCAGCACACACACACATGGGTTCCCTCAACCAGATGTGACCCAACACAGAGCTGAGTTTACAGCCTCAGTGAGACAAGAACCACGTTAGTTCCTAAAGCCACTTTCAGACTGGGTGAAACTGGGATCAAACAAAGGAAAATACTGGGCTGTGTATGACCTGCATTGTTTTCATATGGGACAAGAGAGCTGAGTCCCTAAAGGAGGAAACCTTGCATCTGCAGTACTTCTGGAGTCATTCTCTAGCTGGCATACGCCGACACGGCTGCCAAACCCAAGCTGGCTTCCACAGACCTCACCGCACGTGCTTCTGTTTCCAAAGTTGGCTCGTGGGTATCTTCATTCATGGTGTAAACATAACATTTGGCATGTTAAAAGAGAAGAATTGAGCTGCGAATGTTGTTCTCATACGCAGGCCAAGGAGGGGCACAGCTGAAGACGTATGGCTCGTTCTGCGGCATTTCCTTCTGTTTCACACAAGGGTCTTCCCTACTCAGCACAAAAGCCTTTCCTGAATTTCAGCTCCTTAAACATTATTAGGGCATAGTAGGGCAAATAATACAATAAGGTATTACTACTGTATCTAAAAGGGCTTTTGCCCCCACTGGCTGTGGGGTGCAAGTGAAGAACACAATCATCCAGCTGGTTCTACATCTATTCAGTTACACCACCAAATATTTTAATCTTTGCAAAGAATTTCCATGTTGTTTTTCTGGTTACAAATCAGTAACAAAGAACTATTTCCATATTAGTCAAGAGAGTATATACTGAGTCTCGGGTATTTGAATTTTATTTGTTCTAATTTGAGAAGCTTTGACTTGCTGTTTATGTCAGGAATCTACAGGTATTTGGCCCAGCTCTCAGGCAAGAGGTTCAGACATGAATTTAAAACACCAATAAAACAAAGAAAATCGGTCCTCATAATTTAAAGTACTTGGTAATGTCACTGTAGTTTTACAGACCTTTTTTACATTTTGAATTAGCCTACCACAAAATACAAATCCTGTTAATACAAAACAAGTGTGTGGGCCTTATACTAATATTTCCCTAACCAGAATACTCATCTTCCAATTTCTAATCATTTTGACCCAGATTCCAAGTAGATTCACTCTCAAAAATCATATATCAAATGCATCATATATCTTTTAATCTATCATTTCCTTAAAACAAACCTAAAATGTCCTCAGAACACAGAATTCCATCAAGTTCAGTGGAGGTGACAGAAAGGTATCTCTCAGCAGCAAGTCCATCCATCCATTTGCTGAAGACTGAACCAGCCTCCAGATGCTTTCAGAAACAACAGATGTTTAAACAGCATGAATCAAAATAATTTACAAACAGGTTCTCAGTCTTGTACTCAATTTTTGGCATAACTGCGTAGACTAAAGCACACTTTCAAGACTTAAAGATTTGATGGTGACTGAAAAAAAGGTAAAGAATGAAGCATATCCTGCAGGTCAGTATAACTGGGTATCATAAGTATTTTCAGTAGATTCAAGATGTACTAATGCACCTTTCCACTGAAGAGTAACACTGTATCCTACTTCTATTCTGACAATAAATTGTTTAGATGATTGTATTTAGCAAATACATAACCAGAGTGTGTTTTCAAATAAGACAACACAGTCAGTTCAATGACAGTAAAACCCAAGTGGTATTGATGACACCTTTTATTACAAAATGAATTATGTTTAGCCCACAGAAGCCTACACACATCTTAGCAACCTGGCTATGAATGTTCATAAAAATTGAATAAACCTCATTTTATTTAAAAAACCAAAATCCATTAAAATTTCAAAAAGGATTGATGGGAAGAGATGGAGCTTACATCTTAAGCAAGATACTACCCAGGTT